TCTCATTGTTGCAGAAAAAGCACGAAGCTCAGCCGAGTATCGTATTTCATTTCTTGGTTACTTCATATTTGGTTTTCCATCTACACTGGTGATATTATATGCGTGCCTTCCAGTAGTCTATTTTATGGGAAAACTTGCTGCTAAAATATAAACAATTAGCTACAAGAGCTGTTTGAGTGCATTGCTGAATTGGCTAATTTGTTTTTATTGAATTAATATAATCATTTTAATTGAAATAAAAGTCCCCTACGACAATGTTGCATCATACCATTATAATGCTACTACTAACATGGATTGCTGTCAGTGACAACAGTGTAATTAGGATAGTTTCAATTTGTCATAATTATTGCTGACTTTTAAAAAATTTTCATTCATATTATGAGTAATGTCAGGCTGAATATCCATAAAAATTAAGAGTTCTGGTTTATGAAAAATACTAAAAGTAAATACTGTTTGTTAGATTAGCTTACTCATACTTATGTAACACAAGTTACACTTTTCTATTATATCTATGTTGCAATGTCTTTTGCAATTTTTTAATTTTTTTACTTTGGAATGAGTCGCTATCTTTTGATCTAAGTCTTTCTCCCACTAAAAAACTATATGAAAGTTAAAAAGTTTTCATGGAATATTTTCTTAACTCTTTTAATGTTGATCATCCATGCACCTGTCACTTATCATGTCCACATGAGAGGTTAGATTACATATTATGGTAATTCTAATTCAGTCTATTTTTATAAGAGGATTGTAATTAAATGTGTATTTGTAATTGAGGTTTTGTAACTGATCTCAGCTCTGAAGTCCACCTGTGCTAATAGATCTAAAGTGACCAATAATAAAATTAATCCATTATACAGAGTGCATTTTATTGTTTAAGTTTTAAGGAATCCTTAACTAATTTTAACTCTTATGAAAAAATTGCAAAAGTCATTGCAAGCTAGATATAATAGAAAAGCGTAACTTGTGTTACATAAGTATGAGTAAGTTAAATCTAACAAACAGCATTTACCATTTTCATAAGCCAGAACTTTAATTTCTTATGGATAAGTTCATTATTCTTGGTTTTCACGATACACTGTAATTATTCGTGGTTTTAATTGAGGATATGAATCATCATGCATCATGCATTCATAGATAATAGAGTAAATGAAAGGGATTGGAAACGGGGGCGTAGGCTAGTTGATGTTGCTATTGGTTACCGGCCCAATACCTGGTTGATTTCCCATCTCCTCCATTAGTGAGGCTGTGCTGCCAGGACTTCGAAGGATATTTATGGAAATCCAAGAGGACGCTTACTTATGATATACCTACCGTTCCATATAGAAAGTTTAGGACT